GTTGGTGCTATAGGGCCTTGTTGATATAAGTAGATATATTTGATTAAAATTTAGTATTTGGATATTGGAACAGTACAAGCAACATATATTGTAATGAATGATATATTGGATATGAGTCTTTCATTAAATAATTGTTGTGTTCTTTATTAGCATGTTTAAATCCTTGAATAACTAGGTTATTCTAAATGTCCATAGTCGTTCATAGTTGTGGGAGAATCTATGAGGTAAAACTAATATGAGTGGATTGGTTGATTTTCATGGTGATGAAAATAGCAAGAGCTGATACCAACTTCATAGGTACTTGATTAGGAGAATAAGTATTGGACCTGACCCGCATCAAAATCGCTTTATGGATCGTAGTCATGAGTGATGTTTTGATCAAGGTTGTATCTTTGTATTCTTAGACCTGAGATACATATTTGGGACTTGAAGTGTAGGAATTGTTGTACTTTGACATGGTTTAACGTTGTTCTGTAAAAGGCAGTCATAATGTCATCGTTGGGTATGACATGAACTACATTGATGGGCGTATGTAGTCGAAATGGGACTTGTCCCTCTTATTCATTGAGAGTTAGACATATAAGGCCTTACTAAAAGTTAAACACTAAATGAGATTGATAACGATCCATATCTCCTGTTCGACATGATGTCTGAGACAACGGAATAATTAATACCACACCTTTAGTAACAATTGTAGCTTAGAGCTCCTGGAATTGGATATTGATGAGATGGCATCCTTCATATGTTGTTAGGGGCAGTAGCCCGTTGCTAGACGTCAGCTGCTGTCTATGTCAGTCTATAATGAATCTTGTGCAAGTGGGAGATTGTTGAATCTATATGCCTAAGAATCATTATGGAGTGATATTACTAATAATATACGATCCTATAGGGTCACACCTTTATCAAGTTGGCACATTTTGTATATTTATTATTAATATGATTATTAATAAATAATATCAATTCTTGTATTTAATGAATAATTATTGTTTTGTGAAAATAATAATTATAAAAGAGTATAACTAGTTATTATTTAATATGGTATGAATTAATAAGTCATGAACAACCTTTTGGACTAGTTGGATTCTTTTGTCTTTTACCTAAAGACAAAGTTTATATTTTATAAACTTTAAGTTTATAAAAATTGAAGAATATTTCTTATAATTAAAGGTATGGCCAAAAATATTAAACAAAGATGGAGGCTGCTTTTCAACCTCCATGCTTTGTCTCACATGCTTCTAAAGGCTATAAATACTTTAGAGTATTTTAATGTAAAGCCCTTACCTTGAATGGAGTATATAAAGAGTGCCTTATGCATGAGAAACTAGAAATTCTTCTTCTTCTCTTTTTCTCTCTAAAATCGTGGGCATGAAAGGGCTTGGAGCTCTCATTCTTTTGAAGATTATTCAAGTCTTTTGGTGGTTCAAAATGCTTCTCTTTTAGTGCTTATTTGAGTTAAGCACTTAAAGGATTAAGAAGTACTTTATACAAGAAGGAAATAGCATTCCAAGTGCCTTAATCTTGATGGTGGATATTTGTAGAGAAGATCATGTTCTTTAGTCTTTACATCTTCATCAACACCCCAAAACCAAGTGGTTCAAAGGCTTCATAGATTATTTCTAAAACACCATATGGTTCTTTTAATATCATTCTAACCTTTATAAATGGATCCTAGATGGTTTGGTTTTGTTATAAATTCGAAAATAATATTGTTATTTTTAAAGCTTCCGTTGTCGGTTTTATGAAAATCGAACTTATATTTTGTATCAAAACCCAACATATATTTCTCTCATCATCGGTGGTACCTCTCATCTCTTCTACCCCTCGTACATCTCTTTCACTCTCTTAAGTACACCCCAACTACCACCACCATTCACCTACACCGTCTGCTGCCATATGTTGCCCGAAAACCTTCAGACGCTACTAATCTATTTGTACATCGGGGAAGGAGCGACCAACTGGATCAATAGAGACGATGGGGGAATTTAAACCCAAATCGAACCACCCATCGGACATGACTCCTTCGGTGGTGGGAGAACGGTTGTAGAATAAGATAACAAACTGAGTCAAGACCTACATTCAAACTCCGACGATGACTTTAGATCTAGATGTAGGTTCTTCTGTTGATCTAATCCTGCATCTCCTTCTCAACCCTAATCTCGGTTGAAAGTATCGATGAGTGGTGGTGAACGGTTTATGGTCGACCGATGAGTCAACGTCATGTCTGAACCCACCGATGATTTGCAGCGGGGATCACAGATGCATATATAAATCCTCTTTAACACATACACATACAAACGAACAATCAATTTTCAGGGTTGTCTCTTCAAGAACAATGGAATTTATGGGTATGTTTCTAGAACTGGAAATCGATTTCGAAATCTAAAAAAGCTTATGGGTAATGGGTTTTCAAGAATAATCGATTTCTAAAAATTCAATTTCGTCTATGTATTTCATATCATTTCTATGTTTAGGGATGATTTAGAAGAATAATGGAGGACCAAACAATTTTGGTTGATTAGAGGTACTAGCGTTCATTTGGCTGCTGTTCTTCAAGGACTTTAGAAAGTGGTTTCCGGAATTTAAATTATGTTCACATTGACGTCAAAATCCAATGGAGATGATGAACATGATGAGTTTGCATATTTGTACACTGTGAAATGGAGGTGTGAGTTTTTGGGTTATGGCACATCTGTACCCATTTGCAAAAGGGTTGATGGGAAGAAGATGGAGAACACCAACAATTGTGTTTGGGTGGTCTGGTGGTAGAGAGGGTGGTCTGGTTAGAGAGGGGGAGAGAGAGAGAGAGAGAGAGTGTGTGTGTGTGTGTGTGTGTGTGTGGTATTTTTTTCTTTTCTTTTTAATTGAAAAATAATAAATTAATTAAAAAATAAAAAAGAATTATTTAAGGGTATATTCGTCATTTTAGGTTGAATATGGACCAAGAATACATAAGAATGTCAATCATAGGGACCAAAACCGCATAAGGTATCCAAAATTGGACCACTAATACACCACCAATACTTTTTAGACCAAAAATACAGAACTTTGCCAACCACAGAGACCATTTTTGCAATTCTCTATATGTTACAAAACGACGTAGTATATTGAGTTTGGGTAACTAAGCTTAGATACATTTAAGGTATATTCACTTTATATTTGATAATGATATAACATGTTTAAAGTGACATAATTCAAAAAAAAAAAATCAGCTAATCCTCTCTAATAAATAAAAATATTTTTTCCACTTGTCATCTTCTTATGTATTATGTCACATGTTATTTTGTAGTAAATTTAGATTAAATTATACGCATGTGTCATTTTGTGGTTTTTTCCATAAAACTCTTAAAAAGTATATAAATAAAATGAAATAATCTCATAAAACTCTTAAAAGGTATATAAATAAAATGAAATAATCTCTAAAAACAACTGAAAAATAAAAAATGTCACCTTTCATAAAACTCTTAAAAAGTATATAAATAAAATGTTAAATTATTCATTCAAAACAAATCATTATGAAAGTAAATACTTGTGGTTTAGGAAACATTTAATCTCATATACTTTGAAAACCCTAATATATATATATATATATATATATATATATATATATATATATATATATATATATATATATATATATATATATATATATATAAAACAAAAAAGTTATAGTTTATTTCGCCGTCTAAACTATATAAGTTACGTGGTCATGTTTGACGAACATCCTTAATGGTATCAATTTGAAGATATTAATAATATCTTCTTAATGGTATGTTAGACTGTTTATTTTGAAGGCCTTGTACGGAAAAGAAATGAGCCCCTAAAATTTCGAATTAGCAATTAATAGGTACAGACTAACAACGAATATTGACAAATAGCGACAGGGTAACAACAAAATAACGACGGAATATTGACCAATTAATGAAAGATTAGACACGAAGCAGCAACGGGTTAAAATTCCTCACCCCCTAAAGACATTGGTCATAGCATAACCCTGCATGATGCATGTGGTCAAGACTCTTGATGGTACAACTTGTTCAAAGTTATATACAAAATTTATTAATATTAAAATAAATAAGCTCATATGTCAAAAATATGATATATCAAAAAAAAAAAAAAAAAAACAGTATGATTATATTAAATTATATAAGTTAAATGTGTGATTCTTGAAATTTTAAAGGGCTTTTATGAAAAATATTGTAACCGTTTTGTTGCTTTGATGGGGTCAAATGCCCATTTTTGCAAAAAAGGATAAAGTAACCCCACTTTTGCAAAGAAAATGGGAAACAACCTCATTCTTGCCAAATAATAATAATAATAATAATAATAATAACTCTTGACTAAGTCACACTACAAGAAATGAGCATTAGCGAAAAGGTAAGGTATGTCGCCGCTAAAGGTATTACCGGTGACTTGTCGCTGCAAATAAATCGCCGCTAATGATTCGTCGTTAATGCTCAATCAGTCGCCGCTAATAGTAACCGTCGTAGCAATTAACCAACTGTCGCCGCGATGCCTAGTTATTAGCGGCGACACCCCTGGATGGAAAAGTCAGCGTCTTTTTTAGGCCTTTACGACTGTTGGATGGAATACAGATCGAATATGCATTTAACGCGGATCGCTACTGTGTGGGCAATAGCAGCGACGCCTTTAATTAGCAGCGACATGTAACGCGTCAATTACATGTCGCCGCTAATGTCTTGCGTCGCCACTATTGCCCACATTTCTTGTAGTGTCATATTTCCTATCTATAGGCGGTAGAGTGTTTAGGCTATTTCAGTTTGTCTTTTAATCATTATGATTAAGTTGTTAGAAACCAATTATTCCTTAACAAAATTCAAATAAAATGTCACTTTCAATAGGTGCTCATTTGAAGTGCGACGAAACTCTACTCACACATGCATGATGCGCACCCCTCGATGCTCTATATATACATTTTATGAACAACGAAAGAGAAACATACTCCAACTCTTTTACAAATCATTTCTAGCAACCGATAAGAAATGTCGTCAATTATTGCTTATGTGTTAGTTCTCATCACTTGCACCACCGTTTTCCAAATCCCTCCTACATGCTTGGCCGATGATACTGAACTCCAAACCTACATTGTTCAGTTAACTTCACCCCAAGGCCAAGAGTTTTCACAGCCACGAGACCTTGAAGAGTGGTACAAGTCACTTCTCTTCTCTGAAACTGTTGTTTCAGTCTCAAATGAGAAACCGATCATGATTCATATGTACCACCACGTGATTACAGGATTTGCTGCAAAAATGTCGGCGCAACAAGCAAAGGCGATGGAGAATATGACGGGAGTTTTATCTATAAGGTCCGAGAGTGTGTTTCAGTTGCATACAACTCGTTCCCCACATTTTTTAGGGTTGCACCAAAATTCGGGGTTTTGGATGTCTTCAAAGTATGGGAAGGGAATCATAATTGGGGTTCTAGACAGCGGAACTAATCCTGGGCATCCTTCATTTCACGATAAAGGCATGCCACGTCCACCGGCTAGATGGAAAGGCAAATGTGAAGTGGCAGGGTGCAATAAGAAGCTGATCGGAATGAGGAACTTTTTTTCGGGAGCTACTACTCCGGTTGATGAGGATGGCCATGGAACACACACTTCAAGTACTGCTGCAGGGAGTCCCGTACAGAACGCAAACGTATTGGGAAATGCCAATGGCACTGCCACTGGAATAGCACCACTGGCACACTTGGCCATGTATAGAGTGTGTGGGGGAGTTTATGGACTTTGTACCGGGAGTGCCATTGCAGCAGGTGTGGATGCAGCTATTGAAGACGGTGTTGATGTGCTTTCAATTTCACTTGGTGGACCTTCCAGCCAATTCTACGAAGATATTATTGATATCGCCTCCTTTGCTGCCATGCAGAAAGGGATCTTTGTGAGTTGTTCGGCTGGTAATTCCGGGCCTTATAATTCAACATTATCCAATGAACCGCCATGGGTACTTACTGTTGCGGCTAGTACGATTGACAGGAGAATAAGGACGACAGTTTATCTTGGAAACAACAAGTCATACGATGGAGAGTCGTTATACCAACCCAAGAATTTTAACCATAAGTTCCGACCTCTTGTTTACCCTGGAAAAGATGGCAAACTTGTTGATGTGAAGGGGAAAGTTGTATTTTGTGATGGTTCGAGAGGGTGTACGAGCGAACATGTAAAGGCAGCAGGAGGAGCTGCCGTGATTCTTGCAAATGATAAACATTTCGGCGAGACAACAATAGCAGAGGCTCATGTTCTTCCAGCATCGGTTGTCGGTTACGGGGAAGGAATTGAGATAAAAAAGTATTTAAATTCGACTTCTTCCCCTGTAGCCACTATCCTTTTTCATGGAACTGTACTCGGCATAAATACGGCTCCTGAACTGGCTTCTTTCTCCTCGAGAGGGCCTAACTCTGCAAGTCCTGGAATCCTTAAACCAGATATTACTGGACCCGGGGTTAACATTCTTGCAGCTTGGTACAAGTCAGATGATAACAATACAAGAAACAAGGCGCACTTCCACGTCAAATACGGCACGTCCATGTCTTGTCCTCATCTAGCGGGGGTAGCAGCACTTATGAAAAGGGAACACCCAGATTGGTCTCCTGCTGCTATCAAGTCTGCAATAATGACAACCGCGAGTCAAGTCAACCTAAACAAACACGCGATTGTAGACCAAAGAGACCCAAGACTGCTCCCTGCAGACGTGTTTGCCATTGGCTCCGGTCACGTGAACCCATTAAAATCCAATGATCCAGGGTTAGTCTTTGACATCCAACATAGCGATTACATTCCGTATCTGTGTGGGTTAGGCTATACTCAAAAACAAATCGAATTGATCACAAGGAAGAAAGTCTCATGCTCAAAAACCATACTAGAGGCACAACTCAACTATCCTTCTTTTGCCGTTTCACTAAAAAGAGGTGACAGCAAAACATACTCTAGGACGGTGACTAATGTTGGCATGCCAAACTCAACTTACACGGTTGGCGAAATTCATGTGCCACACGGTGTAAAAGTTGTGGTCGGCACTGACACTGACACTGGCATTGGCACTGCAGCCGGTCCTTCTCAAGTACATGAGCTCAGCTTCACAGCAGTGCAGCAGAAGGTGACATACAGTATAACCTTTTCTCGAGATGCTACGGCTGAGGTGAATGGTCCTTACAGCCAAGGCCATATGACTTGGGTTTCGGGTCAATACTCGGTTCGGACACCGTTTTCATTCAAGTTTGAATGAATAAGTAAGAATTATATACATGTCTAAAGTGGTCTATATATAATTACACCATACTAAGTTGCAAGATGTATTGTTTTGTACTAGGTATATTATGGGATATAATAAAGAAGTAAAACCTTTCAAATCTTTAACATTAATATTTCCTCATTTGACTTCAATATATGTAATAAACTTTAGGTCCTATCTAGTTTGGTATGAAACTCATATATGCACTCTTTGCGAGTCTGGAATATCATTCATTTTGGTAATTTGGTCACAGAATTGAAATTGTTCAAATTAAACATTAATTGTCAGTAAAGTAAATGTCCTCTGGTGGACCCTCTTTTGTATTGGACAATTTATCATGTTACTATCTTCTTGGTCTCCTAATCTTTCTAAATTTGTTATTCATCTAATAATCTGATCATTAATCATTGCAACTTAAGTAGTTATCATCAGTTTTCAATGTTTAGTTGTAAATCATTTACAACAATAATCGAAAAGCAAACTCTAAAATAAAATCACTTATTCAGACGTAATAAGAAACTCAAGGAAAGAAGGAGCTCATTTCCAATTTAATACCTTAATTTCCTCTGGAAGAGTTTGATGTCATTTGTTACACCAGTGGCTTTTTAATTAAAAAAGTGTGTTGAAAAAGTAGGAAACTAAGTTTTACTTTATTAAAGGGCTTTTCTAATTCTATAAGAGTCGAAGTTGTCAAAGTAGTTTAATTTCCCTTAAAATATCGATTCAAACATATTTAACAACTTTGTTTATATATGATGAATTTTATACTAAAAGGGTATAGATCATTTTTATTTCAAATGTTGAAATTCCACTTGTGGCACCACAAAATGACAAGAAAGATCATCTTAACTTATAAAATTCTAGTAATTTTGGGTAACGGTTCTAAGACCGATTCGGTGCATCTAAACCCTGTTCAAAAACAGGAAGCGGACCTGGAAATTGAATAGTAAATAAAAAAAATACATTAATTGTGATACAGTACTTTTTATATGATTTTTAATCAGCCCTGTAAAAATCAATTTAGACATTGCATAAAAGCGAATAATAAATAAAAAGTACATTACTTGTCATACGCTTTTTACTCTGATTTTTGTTTTCATCTTTTATTATAAAAATTTTGCTACTTGAAAATATCCAAAATTAAAATAAATTTTAAACCAGTAGACCTTTCATGTTTTGGACTCCTTGGGTTTGGAAAAGTATTGGATCTTTGGCCCTTGAACCCACATTTATGCATTGGTGTTTAACTGCTTATGCCTTATGGACTTAGATTGTCACTGTCATATTTTTTTTTTCCCTATTACAGAGTGTCATCTTGAAAGTGCATTGTGGTTATTGTTGCAAATCACAAAAATGGGTTATGTAAAATAACCAAAAACTATCAAATCCGGTTTCGGTTCCGGTTTGGTTATAAAACAATTATTTCAACAATTTAATAAAAAATAAAAGTAATTAAAAATAAAATAAAATATTTTTTATTTTTTCCCTAAAAATTCAACAATTTAATGAAAAATAAAAGTAATGGATGACACGAGATTTACCAATTATTTCAATGGTTTCAAGGGTATTTCTGGCAACAAAATAAGAAATAATAATAACAATAATAATAATAATAATAATAATAATAATAATATTGGTTTTACGAAATAGTTTGTTAAATAGATAGATAGATATATATCAGAACTAAAGCGGTCGTTTAAAATTCTAGTCATTAAATTGTTTATCGCATAATGTAGTTGCAAACTGCATGACTCGTTAATGGTTCTTTACCAAAACCTCATACAACGGCAATGCAAGTGATTTTTTTTACTAAACTGCAAAAATAGTTATTGTGGTTAGCTGAAAATTGACATTTTGATCTAAAAAGGTTTGGATTAGCTACCGGTCCAAACTTTTCATTTTGTTGTGAGTTTGATCCAAAATTTTTGAAACTTGTTATAATGACGGATTTTCCCCTTATTATTTTATTTTATATTTTTCTTTTATTACAACAATTAAAAATAAAACAAAAATAAAATCTCTCTCTCTCTCTCTCTCTCACACACACACACACACACACAGAGAGAAACCAAACTTCTTTTTTGGGGGTGAGTTCATTTCTCATCGGAAAACATAAACCATTCATCTCATTCACATGGTTGCTCCGATCAACTCTACCATACAATGAACCACCATTCACAGATCGGAGGCATCAATCACCGAAAAAAGAGACAGACAAAGTGAGATTCTTCACAAATTAGTGACTCACCACAAACAGATCGACAGACCTCCCTTCTCATCGAAAAATCCTAGTCACTAGACCTCCCTTTAACGGATCGGAGGCATCAAAACTCCCAAGGGTTTTCAACACCACCTGCATCAAAGATCCTAGTCGGCAGTAACTTCGACGAATGAAGCGGAGAATAAGAAGGGCGGCATTTCCAGGGTTTTGGTTTTTCAAGGGTTGGTCTAAGACGGATCTGAAAAATCGAAAGGGCGGCAGAGATTTGGAGTTGTCCATGGTGACTATTTAGGGTTTGTTAAATGATCATTGTCACATCCATACAGAAACGACTCCGCATTAGTGGCGACTCCGGCTCCAGCTACTCCAACATCCGATTGTTGTTCGTGGTGACATTCCAGATCTATAATTTTGCAGATCTCGAGAACTCAGTTTCAGAAAACGATAATCGTGTGTATGTCTAGAAAAAGCAAAGGATTCTAGGGTTTTCGATTTCGCAAGTCTGGAATAATGTATTCTTGTTATTGAGATCTAAAAAAATCGAGTTTGTAGAAATATCTTGTTCTTGAGTGTTCTTGTTCCAGTTTGAGTGATTTAGAAAAAATTTATGTTTGTAGAAAAATTCATTGTTCATGTTTGAGATTGCAGATCTGAAAAAATGAGTGTTTTGTTTTTCAAATCTAAAAATATTTTGTTTGACCGAAGTTACTGCCTGTTGTGGTGATTGGCAGTAGAGGTGGTGACTGGCTACGGTGTTTGTGGTGTTGACCGGAGGGTTGATATTTTCTTTTTTATTTCTGTTTTAATCAAATAAATAAAAAAACAAAAAAAGTAAAAAATAAAGGCAAAATCGTCATTATAAAAAGGTTCAAAGCAAATTGGACAAAACTCACAACAAAATGAAATTTTTGGACCGGTGGTACTAGTCCAAAACTTTTAATTTTCAACAAACCATAAGAACCATTTTTGCAGTTTTGTCGATTTATTTTTGTCATTGTTTTATGCTGGCAGTTCACAAAACTAACTTGTTGGTTTCTTTCCCAAAATCAACCAAAACGAGAAGATGAATATGCAAGAATTGAGTTAATTGGGTGCAATGTAATACAATGGAACAGACATCATGTCATTGGTGTTCTTGATATGTCGAGATCATAGAAGAGTCAATTTAAAAGTCAACCAGATAGTCATTCACTATACGACCATACTAGATTCCATGTAATCAATTCTAGACATCTACACTTCAGTGTTTAAAAAAAAAAGAATAAAAAAAGAATAAAATCTTTTAGACTTTTTTTATCTTCTAGACAAAAAAAAAGTAAAGACAAAAAAAAGTATAACATCTTCTAGACTTTTTTATCTTCTAGACAAAAAAAAATACTACTGGGTGTCAGATTCGAACCCTAAAGGTTTGGTTTACAAAACGTATCGAAGTCTAGAAGATCATACTTTTCTCTCATTAAACAAAATGTAAGAGGCTAGAATCACAAAAGTTTTACAAAACATGGCCGGTAAAAATAAGTTGGGTTGACACAACAACATTGTTTTTATCTATTTCTTAAATTCATAGATATGTAACACATCAAATATGATTTTACAAACTAATAATATATATCATAAAAAGTTTTAAAAAGAGTTTTTTGGATCAACAGTTTTTTTGAACCATGCTCGTACCAACCATGTGATTGTCTCACATTATTTAATAAAAAAAATAAAAAAAAAAAGTATCCAAATCTAGGTCTAAGAAGCTAGAAACACAAATAACATAGCCTTTTCGGGTAATTACAAGGTTCCAGGTAAAAAAAGTATGGACTTTTAGAATTTAATGTTAATGAGAAAATAAGTATAAACTTCTAGACTTTCTTATATTTTTTCCTTTTTCATTTTTTAGAAAGGAAAGCTACCCTAACTTGAAGACTACCGGATTCTAACTTTCGAATCATGTAGTATCAACCGTGTGTTTGTCTCACAATCTAAAAAAATGTATTAAGTCTAGAAGATCTAAGAGGCTAAAGGGGAGAATGTCATACATTTAGACACTAATTGCAAGAACACCAAAGACTCTATGCATATTCCACTGTATAACGATGCCCCGAACCTCCTCAATTCTTGCAGATTCACTTTCCCATATTGAGTGATTTCAAGAAATAATGAGCAAAAAGTTAGATTCACTTTCGAATCATCTGATAAAGCCATGACTTTTGGCTCTTGAATCACCACAGTTTTGTAATTATATTATGTGATGGACAAATCATTAACAATCACGTTCAAATTCCAAGCCAATCAAAACTAAAGAAGAATATAAAAGTTTAAACAGAAATGAGTATGCAAATCCGCATACTTTGAGAAAGGTTTGTCGAATAGCAAAAATAACCACCTCCAGGAAGCTATTATATTCCCTATTTTTAACAAAGATGACATAGACATGATCAAGCATTAATATACACATGACGGACTTTAGGCATGGTCCATGGTTTGGCTACAAACCATGTTAACTTCTAATCTAGGGTGGGCTCAGCAAAGTATGTGTTTTGTTAATTGTCTGTCTTATGGTATCACGACAATATGAATTCCAGACAATTAAAATTGAAAAAAATGCATGCATAAAGTAGTAAAAATGATAAAGTTTAGGCATGGTCCATGGTTTAGCTAAAAAAATATAACAAAAGTTTTTAGTACAATAAGATAATTACCGGGATGATCACAAGATGTTAGACATTCATGTTGTTGCTGACTGCACAATTCATAGTTGAAGAGCTTGTTGAAAGATCGATGG